AAAAATTCACCTGTAACCACCCCCCCCCCCAAAAAAAAAAAAAAAAAAAAAAAAAAAAAAAGGGTTCCTTTCCATCGGTCTTTAATATAGGCGCCCTATACCGGTAGTATCCCTGATCAAAAACGTCAGTTGCAAAAGGACTTCAATATGCATAAAGCGGTAGGCCTAATCTTTTTTTTTTTTTTTTTTTTTTTGCATTCTGCCATCGGAGATATGGTTGCTTTCCTGCGCTTGCTACGAACATGTTCAGTCAAAACGAAAGACAAAAATGTAGCCCACTGAACCGGCTGAACATTGTCCATGAACACTCCTTGACTTGTCTCGTTATTTGTGTTAGCGAGGAATTATGGGTAATACAATCTTGAGTTGGGAAGCGGCGACAACGCTCCAGCAAATTACATGTCAAACAATAAGATCAATAGAACTGGCACGCAAAAATGCAAGTGTTTGAGTAATGAGTTAAATTAGTAATGCATTTCTTGGTGTTTTGAGACCATCAACAGCTATGTAAAAGTCGATTTCTTCTCTCCATTAGACCCTACATTTGCTAAAAACGACTTGGCGAGGTGAGAACGTAAACAACTGCAAGCGTTGTGGACAAGCTAGAAGCACGGTAAGTGTGAACAGATGAAGCTGTAGGAATAATGTTTTCACGATTCGTCTTTTACGATTTTTTTTACTTTTTTTCTGCATGCAAAACACCAATTGGCGGCCTATTTGACAACCGCTGGGCAAGCTGTACGTAGAAACTAGTTCAACGACTTCTAGTACATGTAATTACTATACAAGTACTCTTACATGTACATACTATTCGGTTATGGTCCAAGATATATTAATAACAGCTATGATATACAATGACTAAAGACTGATTATGTCAAAGCACAATTAAGTATATTGATCTTGGTCTCTTCACTACATTTTAAATGTACCGTAATTACATGTTTGAGAACCTGAGAGTTGCAAGGGATCCAAAGAAGATATGCACAGGGTCTTTAAAGTTAATTTAAAAGTCAATGTGTAATTTTAAAACTAGCTCCTAAAAATTTAGCCTTCAGAATGATTTCACAGAGCCAGATATCACTAGGCCTGTTTTCAGCACCTTGGCTTTCAGTTATCAGAAACAGTAGCTAGTTGCTGATAAAATAAAATAGCTAGTTTAGAATAATCTCTTCGAGCACGTTCAGAATAGCAGACTAACCGATCCGCAGATCACGTATGGCCGACCTACTTGAATACTTGTTGTGTAATCCCTGGGGGGAATCTATTCATTGTCTGGGGATGAAGTGGCAAGCTTTTTAGTGGGTTGCCATATTTGATCTGCAGATCTGTTATTTCGCTTTTCTGAATGCGAGTGGTGTCCAGAATAAACTGATTGACCAGTTGCAATATGATGATGGCATAATAAATGTGTTGAGATGCATTAATTGTAAATTGTGGTTAATAAAATCTCATTTATCAATTTTTTTCAAGACAGGTGCTGATAAATATGGATTGACAGAGGAAAAAGACGTAATTGTCTCATGATTTGGACTCCTGTTCTAATATTGTGAACAGGTTGTCTTAAGAAAACAACATGAATGAGGATAAGGAAGAGAATGCTTCAAATGGTAAGATACTTATGAATTTGCCTGTTGTAGAGATTCCACATAAGAATATCCACAGTAGGCAGGGGAGTATCCATTGTTTTATTAAAGAATATGGCAACGATCTTCCAATTTACCCCATCCCATTTTAAAGTTTATTCATCAAGAAGTGTCCTTTAGAGCCTGTATATGTTTGGATATTTGTGAATGTGTTTGCATATGTGTATATGTGTTTGTGTCCTGATAATATATACTCAAAGCAGGGATGGGAATGAGCATGTGTCAAGAAGAATAGCAGCTGTTTCATTAGTCCACAGTGAATTACCTTGATATTTCTACAAGAGTACTGCTTTCATGTGTTACTATGAAAAATGTTGTGAATTTTTAAAAGAGGTCTAATAATGAAGGTAAGAAGAAAATAATAAGATGAAAGAAGGGAAGCAAATTTAAGAGTTTACCAAGGAAGCCATCTTAATAGTTATTATGTTGACATTGGTTTAGTTAGAAGTTATAGTCCATGTACCAATTAACCTTATAACACCTGCCTAAATACCTGAAATAGTTCCACAAAGGTGTGATACGATTACAAAGAATATTATATATATTTACTTTCTGCGTTGCTTCTTTCTTTTAAAGCTTCTTTGGGGACCTCGGGTAAAGGTAAAGATCGTCCTCCTAGGAATAGGTTCAAGGAATCTATAGAAAATCTCCTGTAAGTATTGCAACTATTTTATGACTGTAGACCAATAAATATGTCATCAGTTGCTGTTTGATGATTGAAATGTCATAAAATAATGTGAACTATATTAGGACAGCTTAATTCTCCCCCTCTTTTCTTTTTCAAAAAGACTGTATCAGCTCCTGGTAATTTTATTGATATGTAATTTTATTGAATGAATTGTTACTTTCTCCTTTTGCTCTTACTGGTAAGTCAGTTTCTTATACAGTGGACCTTAATCTTTTGTAATAATAGATATTTATGACAAGAGAAGTTTTAAAATAAATAATACTGCTGGCATTTGTGCAGCTTTTCTTTATAAGACTAGCCTTTTTTATAGAATAATAATTCTGCACATGAATAAAATTCAGTATTGGAATTTTTTCCAAAGGCGATCATCCGATGCTCGTCTTCAGAAAAATGCACAAAGCGAAAGAGATCCGGGGCTGCCCCCCAGGAGAAGTAAAACTAATTTATTACCACGTTTTGATATGGCTGATGAGAAAGAAGATAACACAGCAAGTAATTCAGTGGCAGGTAATTGATCAAACTTTTAAAATTTGAAACTGCGTATTTAAAAATGTTGGAAGTTGTATGCCAGTGTTATTATATTCTTGTGTTAGCACAACATTGAATAGGCAAAGGACACATAAAGAATAAGTAAGACTTTGTCTTGTTACATGTAGCTTAAGTAAAATGAACTCGGTTTACTGTGTATTATGAAGCCTTCTTTTTAAAAATTCATGAGCAGATCAATCGGAAGCAAGTGAAACAACCAGCAGGACTGATGTAAACTCTCAGAAAAATCTGTCAAATATAGGGGTACCTTTGTCAAAGCAGCCAAGGCTAGAAATGGGGAAAACAGGTTTGTTTTCTTTGTTTGTTTTGAATTCCATGATAACTGGCTTTAAGCTTATTATTTATGTATAAACATTCATAAGCTTAAAGGGATAATAACTCTTCGCATGAGATCTATATTTCACAATAAAAACATTGCGAATAACTCACAGAAATATAATATATTCTGTTTTACCACAAAATCAGCAGTTATAGCTATTTTTTCTGATATCTGAGTTGGTCTTTAGACCACGTGACCGCCATTGATGGCTATACTCTGTTAAAATCTCTTAAGAGATTTTAACGAAAAACCAAACTTTTTAGAAAAAAAACAGGGACAAACTTTGAATGTAAAAATGGATTCATTAACCATTGGTAAGTATGGGAAAATTGTTGTTTACTCCAGGAAAATTCATTTTTTGGCCGAAACGAAGAGTTATTATCCCTTTAACCAATTAGCTAAGTTGATATATATGCATATTGACATCCTTGACCAATTTCATAAGTGAGGAGGATAAATGCTTTAATTGTATCCAATTTTTTTGGACTATTATCAAATGAACATTTTTCAAACATGTGCTATTTATTCAGGTTCACCATCAGAAAATAGTGATTTAACTCCAAGAAGGAATGAAAGAATTTATGTATGTACCTTAATATCTGTTTTGGTTAGCCTTATTAAAATTAACATGTGTGTGTGTATTTAGGTTTGTATTAGCTGACTTTATCCTTGAAGAGAATATTTACTCACATTTGTAAAAGATGCCAAGAAAAAAATAAATATGGAGTACATCTAGATCCCATTTAGTTTCCCCTTAAAGATAATGATGAATTGAGAATGTTTGATAACCACTGAGCAAATATTTTTGTTTGTTATCACAGACTGTCATACAGGTACATGCTACAGTATTTACAGGGTCAAATTTTACAAAATTGTAGTGGGAAGTTGTTGATAAAAAAGTTTTTTGATATAACCAATTTTTTCAATCCATAGGGTACAGCTGGAAGTCTAAGAAGTACTCCAAGCAACATGTTGGATGAGGACCTTACTTCTGAAAGGGTAAGATACAGGCCCGTGTAACTGAACAAAAGACCATAACAGTATATGATATTGTTGTAAATGACCCAGTCATTGCATTATAATTAAATCTGCACTGTTCAGATTCAATGAATAAGATACCAGTATGCCTTTGTAATATAAAAATGGCAGTACATGTATTTATTCTTGAGGTCACAGGCTGCTAGAATACAGTACAAAAAATGAAAATTTCAATGGAAGTAGTAAAAAGGGATGAGGAACAAAGACAAAGCATACATGGCACAAGCAAAGCACATTTTTTTATGGTTAAGAAATATTTTGGATTGATTGTATGATAGTTCATGTGCTTTATTTTTAGAGTTTTGGCAGCAGCAGAGCATACACACCAAGAAAAAGACTCAATTCCATTCTGGGTGGAAATGTGAGCCCAGAACTCCGCTCTTATATTATAGAAAAGGTAAGTAATGTAACAGTCTCATATTGTGTGTTTTTGCTTGTTTTTTAATCATGTAAAAATGCAGGTTTATGAAAGATACCGGTAAACATCATTTGCATTTTGTCAGTGTTTGAGACTGAATATCATTGTAATAGAAGAGGATGAGGAAATAGTTTATGTTGGTGTTCAATAGGACTTGGTATTTTAAAAATGACTCCATTTTTTTTCAAAACTGAATTTGAAATTTGTTAGTTTTTAGCTTTTAGAAGCTCATTTCCTGAAGTGAATGGTGTATGTAATATTGTCCCACTTTTACCATCTTGCTTTATTTTTGCTTGAAGTAATAAGAATTACTTCTTTAATATCTTCATTTGTTTTGGCTTTTTAGGAAGTAGTAGAAAGTCAACACAGAAAGTTACAAGTTGAAGTTACCAGTTTGCAGACTGAAAACAAGCTGCTGAAAGAAAAATATAATAGAGCTACAGGTGAGTGGTGGAAAGGGTTCTGTACTTTTTATCCATATAAGGAATGGAGAAATTCTAAGGGTATGGAGGTAGCAGGCGGGAAATAAAGCTTTCTTTTAACACTACTTAACCTTTATTGGTATCTTATTGGTGAATTTGGTGAAATTTTTCACATTGCGTATATCTTTGCTTTTAGATTGATGTTACTACTCAAACATGGCAAATCATCCGTGTTTGGTCTATGGAACATTTTAAAATTTCTTGTTTCTTTATTTTAAATGGTAAAATTGTGTAATACTATGTGAATTAATATCATAATGTAAATAAATTGTAATATTAGCACAAATAGTGAATCTGGAAAGACAGCTTGCTGATGCCCAGCACAGAGTGGAGCAAACAGAAGATGACTTGAGTGCTGAAATGTCCTCTATAAGAAAAAAGTCCAGAACTGAAGCAGACTCTGAAAAGCAAGACCTGCTGAAGCAAATTGCCAATCTTACAAAGGAAAATGAAATTCTCACAGCTGAGGTGAGAGGGTAAAGTAGATAATGTTTGTATGATAAAAGGAGAATGGCAATTTTAAATTGAGGTAAACTCAAATCTGTCTCTGCCAAACTTAAAACTTGCAGAAGTTGAACACAAACAAAAAATCAAAAAGAAGGAACTGCACCTTTTTGGTTATTTCTTTATTTCTTTATTTTTTTTACTTCACCTCTCCAAAACTGCCAAATCAATCACCTCACTTTGCTCAGTGAGGGATGATATAATTCTTATGTGTATGTTACATATTATTAAAGTGTAGAATTGAAAAACTAATCAGAATGCTTATTTTTTTCAGAATTCTTCTCTTGAAAAACAACTGGATGCTGCAAGGAGAACCTCTGATATAGTTAGGCAAGCTTCTGATAAGTCCAAGATTGTGGCTGCATACAAGGCAGAGTCTGCTTCTTTACGGGTATATAATCATGCTTAATTGGATTGTTAAAACTAATAAAATAAACTTTTTGGCCATTAACTGATTAAGAACTGAATTTTCTTTCAATTATTTAAATTTCAAATGCATTTACAAATATATTGATTTTGTTTGAAAATTACCATCAGTGTAAGTGACACTAAATATGACTAAAAAGATATAAAGCTTAGTCTTTTTTTTCACTCAGGAGGAACTTGGTAAAGTCAAATCATTGCTTAGTCAGAGTGATAAACAAAGGAGAGATGATGAGGAAAAAAGGAAAGAAAGTCTGCAGCAAATTGCCAAGCTGACTGAAATGAACAACTTACTTAAGCAGCAGTTAGAATTGGGCGGCAGTGCCTTGGTGGCAGAAAAACAGGTAAAGGACCATTCCCACAGATATTTGGATTAATCTTCCTCCCTGGGGAGTCTCACTAAATTGCTATCAAACTATTCGGCTTAAATGTCTGTCACGCCTAGTAAAACTGTTAGGGAGTAATTATCTTTACCCCCAGCTGATTCGGTAAGCGTGACAGACATTTCAGCATCTTGGGCTGATAGCAATTTAGCGTGAACCCCCAGGGAGTTAGGTTGATCCAGATGGATCGATCCAAGTATGGGAACCCAATCTAAGATTCCTTGAAAGAGAAATATTTTGATGACGGAATGTAGCATATTTTTTATCACATATTTTCCATTATGATTGATGAAACATGATTTCTTTTTCAGGTATTTTGTCAGAGTCTTGATAACTGGATTAATCCCACATGATTATATATATTGCTTGCTCTTATCAGTCTTGATAGCTATTACTATCAAAAGTAAATGAAAGTTTATGTACACTTATGTGTACTGCACTGATTTATTACCTTTATTGCCTGTTAACTGTTTGGATTACGTTGATACTATGCATATATGTCATTTAAATGGGTCATTGATTGATGATATAGGTAAAGTCTCTAGATGTGCGTCTCAAAGTAACAGAAGAACGTCTGCAACAAGAGAGGGCAGACCGTTCGGTTAAGCTGTCTGAGGTGGAAGATAAACTCCTCAAGGAAAATGCTAAGTTCCAGGTAGTTTTTGTATTCACTTAATACATGTTTGATATACCAGAATGTTTTTTTTTTAGGAGATTTTTCTTTGATTTATTATGTAACACTCCTAAGTTTCATTTTCAATATTTTTTAACATTAAGGTATTTTCAAAGTTGATTATCTCATAAAAGTTCTGTTTTTTATAGCCAGGTGTAGAAACAATTTTTGACATACTGTTGTTTTGGTGTTATTTTGATCTTACATACTATGAGTTCTCAAGTTTTTTGGTTATATGAAAATTTAGACAAAAGTACCATGATTGATTTTTTATATCATTAATGTGGAGAAATCTGGTGGGTAGTGCATACTCAAGAGGGGTCTCAAGCCTCTCTACTTTTAGTTCAAATGTTTAATCAGGATATATTAAGTTCAGTTTTATTAAAGTGGTTATGACTTGAATATAAGATTGTTATCAACTTCTTATGCCTTGGGTATTGAATATGTAGGTTGCTGCAAAGGAGGCTAAGAGGCAGTTACATAGAGAAAAAGAGAAAGTCAAACATTTAGAACAAAAACTGTCTTCTCTGAAAGATCAGTTAAAACAGTATGGGTCTGGTGACGAGTATGGTTCACCATCAAGAACAAGTCCTAGCAAAAAAGATGAAAGTATTCCGTATTATGACCAGTCACCTGAAGTGGAACACCAGAAGGTTTGCTTTGTTGTAGAGTTCCTGTGACCCACTCTTCTTTTGTTGCACCTTTGGTTTGGGGTGCACTAATTGTTGTTGGAACTTTAATCTTTTAACCCATTTTCTGTTCATCTTTTTCAGTTTTGAGTGTATTGTTCTTTATGGCTAATATGATGTTTACTGTCTTTCTTATTACCGTTTTTCCTGCACAGGTGTCCTCAGAGTTCTATTACACATAATGTACATGTAGAGGTCTTATATGTTTCACTTACTTACTGGGTATATGGTATATTTCAGAGTCTTTCAGTTGAATTCTGTTTCTGCTTTTTCTTTTTCTGTGCTTGACACTATTTTGACTATTATGTTGTCGTTGATTATGTACATTTCTGTTTCATTTGTCTCATAGCTTTTGTTCTTTATGACTGTTTCATTACTTATTGTAACATTATTGCATATTTATTATTTCTTTTAGCACTGCTTAAACTCTATTAGTATCTTATTGGTGAATTTGGTGAAATTAACCCTCTTCTTGGTGAAATCACTAATCCCGATATAGGCAGGGAAGACCATGATGCAATGTTAAATTAAATATTTCTTTTTCAAATTACTTAAATCATAGATTTGCTATGGTCTATCTTATTTGTTCCATCATTGATTCAATATATTTCTCTTTTAGTTTATTATGTTATTTTTTATATATATTATATTTAATATAATTTAATGTATTGTTGACAATCCTTGGAAATGAAGTGGTATTTGAGGCATGCATCATTGATAGGGAATGCTTTATGATGATTCCAGGACCTTTCTGTTGAAAAGAAACTCTATGAGGACAAGTTCAAGAGACTGACTGAAGAGTTGGATGATAAAACCAAAGAAATGCAGGAGCTGGAAATGACTTTAAAGCTGTATGTTTTGCTAACTTTAAGTGACCCTTTGAAATTGATACAAAGATTTCAAATGATGGGACTGGGACATTTGACTTTAACAGAATTTTGATTGTTGAAATAACTGTGCACACCATATAAAAAGTTGAATGTTTAATTATGTATATACCTTAAAATTATAACAAAGGTTTAGTGCTCTTTTAGATTTTTATCGCTGAGTAAAATTTTGAAAAATTAAATGAGTTAATTTGATCCCTATTTCAATATTAATGTGATGATTTTATGACATTTCAAATATTTCCCTTTTCCCTAATAGTCAGATCAACAGTTTGGTAAAAGAAAAACACGAAACTATCACAAAAGTAAGACACCTGGAGGACCAAGTAGCTGGCCTGCAAGCTGAAAATACTTCTCTAAAGGCTGGTCTGGACAGTGGCGTCTCAATGGCTGCCAGTGCTGACAGTGTGGGGTCAGTGCACTATGAAGGTAAAGAACACAAACTCCACTGTTTTCATCTGTTCTTGTGTCCTAATTTGAACAGCTGGCTGTTCTATATTGGGCACTTCATGTTTCAGCTCTGAGGGAAAAAAAAAAAAAAAGAAATCTTGCTTCTCAACAAGAATGTTTCAGATCCAAGAGTACAGAAAATGTAGAAATATATCTGGAAAATGATAAATCATCTGTCTACAATCCTATTTGATGATTTATATGAAAAATTCATAGTTTTAAAGTATGTTTTGTTTTCAGTGTATGTTGATAAATGGGAAAAGAAGTGAAATTTCTGTGCAAATTAATTTATATTGATGCCTGTAATGTTTATATTGCTTTGCAGTTCAAATAGAAACGTTAAAAGGTGAAATCAAAATCCTAGAAGGGAAGATAGCACAACAGCAGCGGAACATTAAGCTTTTGGAGGCTGAAAAAGAAACCATCGTCACACAGTTAGACACCAAAGAGCATTCTCTAGAGGAAGCACTGCGAGAGCTTGAGAATTATGGTGTACAGCAAGAACATGGGGAGTCAGACAGGAAGCAGCAAAAAATTGATAGGCTAACAGCTGAGGTAGATATTTTGCTACACTTACATATGTCTTACTCATGTATTTTAAGTTTACTGTTTACAATTTGTAATAAAAGTTTAATAAAAGTTTTAATTTCTGTCTTCTCAAGTTTGAGTGGTAAAAAGATTTGTTAAGTATACAACTGTGTATATTGAGCTGAGTTGAAGTTGCTTTTCACTTATTAGATTTTAAATATTCAGTTTAAGCAATATCTGTAAAAAAAACTTTTCCATGACAGATTGCAACTGAAAAGGAAAATTTACAAGAACGTTGAAACCTGAGTTTTCAGCACTGCTACTGCTGTTTCCATTAATTACATCACTATTCAGTTTGGTAAGATATAAGACTTCTGACACATTGATGATCAATTATTTTTTATGTATAGAATCACAGCATCCAGTCTGAGCTGCGTGAGTGGCAGATGAAGCACAGGCATTTAACAGCAGAGAAGCAGCAGATGCAGGACCAGATGGACAAGTTGAAGAAAGAATTAACTAGATTGAAACAGAATTGGGAGAACCAGACTGCAGAACATGCAGAATCTTTTGTAAGATTTTATTTTTCATAATTGAAAAATTGCTATCATTGTTATTGTTTCATTTTTAATTGTCACTGTATACTAGCTGCCGTCTGTTCATATTACCTCTTCAGATTGCCCTGGCTTGAAATCTGATTCACTGTAACAGTTTTGCTTCAGACATCTGTTGATTTATGGGTCAAGTTTCTTGTTAACACAAAACTCTTCTGGGTTAAACTTATTAAAATCTCTTGTAAATGGGTAAAAATGCTGGTGTGAATGACAATTTTTGCCAAGTTTTTAAAAATTTATCTCTTATTTTACTGTGTAATTTCATTATTAACACAAATTCATTGGCAGCACCAAAGTTTTCTTTGTGTGTGATTTTTTAAAAATGTTTGTCTTTTTTAAATTAATTTTTGACTTAGAACAAGTTGCTGTTATGCGTACAGCTTTTTTACAGTCACAGGTCTGTACTTTTATAGTTTATACTGCCTAGCTACTTATGTGTCACTTCAAATTAAGGTTAACTGTTCTTATCTGCGTATCAATTTGATGATATTCTAGAAACTTGAGCTCCAGAGTGAGATACATGAAAAAGAAATGCAAATCCTGAGCCTCAAGTCTCAGTTCATGCAGAATGAAGATGAACTACAGATGACCAGGCAGGAACTGATCCTGGAGCAAGAAAATTTGATACATCTGAAAAAGGAGGTTTGTTTCCTTGATATTGTATTGCACAGATGTAATAGAATTACTCAAAGAGATTTAATAGACAAGTTGGTCTTTATCACTAATGTGTGTTCATGTGTCTGGCAGATATAAAAAAAGTCTTATATATTCACTTTACATTGTATTTTCTCTTCTTGTTATGGAAATTTGCTGAACAATTCGCTTTGGTTTTAAAATCAATAGGTTTTGTTAAGTATAATTATCATTGCCCTAATTGAAAAAAATTGTTTTCTGATTATTGGATTCTGTGAATTTTGTAATTAGATTCTTTGGTATTAATGTTGATAACAGGTTATTTTAATCAGTTGTAAGCATCACAGATAATACTGTCAATTTTTCTCTCTTTCTTGTCTAGGTGGAAAATCTACAGTCCTTGCTACACCAGGAGAAAGAACAAAACAAACTGCTGCACGATCAAGAAAGTGACTTACAGGCTGAGATTAAAGCACTCAAAGATAACTTAAAATGGAGCAATAAGGAATTAAGTGAAAAGTCTAGAGAGGTATGCTCTTTTTGAGAAATATATTAGGCCACATATGAAGTTCTAAATTTTTTTCTTTGTAGTGTTTAAAACATTAAGGGCATTTTGGTTTATATACAGCTTTCAGTTGTGAAAAATGCTTGATTAATTTCATGCAAAACTGTCGACAGCCTTCAAAAAAGTAAGCGTTTAGTCTAAGCATCATGAATATTTTTGTCAATAAGCTGCCCAGTTTTCAGCTTAGATATGATGAATTTATCACATTTTTCCACAAATAGGTGGTCACTGAAATGGAGACACTTAAACATTTGCTTGAATCAAAGGAGGCCAGGATTGAGAAACTTTCAGCTACAATAAGGTAAGTTCTGATTATGCTACCATGTGCCCAATGTAATTCTTATTTTATTGAGCATGTAGTTGAGGTATTGCAATGAAACAATCACAGTGCTATTGTTGCCATTTAATTCTGGTAACAACACTGTTGCAATACAACTATAATGGTAACTCCATTGTTGCAATGTAACTATGGTAACTCCATTGTTGCAGCATGACACTGTCAATTTGATTGTTGCTCTGTATCCTTGGTAACTACTTTATTATCCCATAATGCATTTGCTTACAGATCAAAGAAGAAAAACATGAATTGTGATCAGTAAATGACTTATGTGCTTTCAAGTACTTTGTTTGCTGGTCATAAGGTTATTATTTTTATTTTCCCAGCCATCAAAAACAGGACTTGGGTTCCCTGAATAGGCAGATTGAGAGGCTGAAAGAAGAGAGTGCCAGCAAGACTGAGGAGATTGAGAAACTTACATTTGGGATGGAACAGAAGGTATTAATGTAATTTTGAATGTTTGGGAATGTAAAAAAATGCTTATTTGCACATTGATGTATTTGCTCATTTTCATTTAAGTGGCACATCAGAGTAGGATGCACAAAATATTTGAATGTTTTTATTTATTTTTTCTAACAGTATTTTAATGTATTCTGAGATATATTTGTCTCGGCATGAAATTTGTTTATACATTTTATTTTAAAATAATTATCCATTTATTTTGGGCTCCTACTTGTTCAGAGAAGGCATCTGTATTTTTATCCTTTTTATTTATTTTCCTTCTCTAACAATATATTTTATGCACATTCAGGCCCTGGAAATGTCATCTGCAACTGAAGTGAGCCAGTATCTCACCAATGAGAGAACCAAAATTCAGATGGAAAAATATGAAGTGGAGAAGAAGCTTGCCAAACAAATTGAGATGCTTGAGGAAAAGAGACTAGAGATAGGAGAACTAACGAGAAAGGTACATTTGAGGTTTAAAGAAATATTTGAAGTCTTACACTGTACACTGAAAAATGACATTTATACAGTTACTGTATATACAGTGCTTTATTGATCAATTTGAACACTTTCATCTTTTCCACCATATCAGACTTGAGTTTATTTGTTTCTGTGTTTTTTCCCAACATTTTAAGTTTTGATTATTGGAAAACTTGTCTTCAGTTTTGTTGTTTTGCAACTCTAAAATAGAAGTTAAGTGTATAAGATTTATTTTGATGTTTTCAAATAATTTAAATTTTGTGTTGTTTGCACAAATTATGTGAAAAAGATGTAAGGTTGATGATTACATGTGTGACTTATCTTCATCATCGATTTGTAATATGTGTGGAGCTATTTTGGGTATAGTTGACCAAATTGTTCACTGAAAATTCGACTCCACAGATATATTAGTGCATCCAGATATACTTCTAAGCCTTAAAAAATCTTTTACAGCTTGAAACAGAAGAAGACAGACACAGTATGACTGAAGAGATGCTCAAAGAGAAAGAGAATCATATTGTGAGTTTGGAGACAGATATGCATCGTCTGCGCAAGAAAGTATCCCAGTTGGAAGAAGAAACCAGGCAGCTGCAGGAAGAAAGTAAAAAGTGGAATACAATTAGTTCTGGTTTGGAAAAAAGACTAACTGCTGCCAAATTAGAGGTAAATATCTAAGTTAGACTAAGTAGGAAATTATTGATGAAAAAAAAACAATGTTGGACGCTTTTGTCTTTATTAAAGTATGTGCTTTGCTGCAAGCATAAGTAGTTTGAAATTGTCATTTAATTTGACTGTTTTTAGTCAAATTTAAACCAATTGGACAAAAAAGCGATGAAAAAGTAGTAATTTGGCTAAATGAAAAAAAATTGCTAGCGCCACCCCAGATATGTATAGGTCACTTTTCATTTTCTCATTCGTTACAATATTTCTTAGGTTGCTGAAGCAAAGAGTGCATCCAATCAGTTGGGACAAGAATATGGCATGGCCTCCAAGCAACTTGATTTAGTTAAACAGGAATATGAACTTGCAGTTGTAACCCTAGAAACAGAGAAAAGTGCTGCTGGAAAGCTCAGGGTAATTTTAATTACATATAGTACATTATATAGTACATTTGTATAGTACATTTAATTACATATAGTCATTGAGTTATTCTGGATTTTTTTAAGTTGACCCGTTTTTATGTATTTTTCCAAAGAATATACTGATGCCTTTGATGCAGACATGTTTTTTTTTTAAAAAGACAATAGGCCAGTTTAGGTTCAGGTCTGTCGCTTCATATCCACTTTGCCTTGATCTGCATCTATGAGTTTTTGTATTATCCAAGCCTAGTTGCTCATTGTATCCATGGTTTTTCTTTTACCAGGAACAGATTAGGGCTGATGAAAATAAGATCAGTAGATTGGAAGAGGAGTTGAGGGTTTCACATGAAAGAGTTGATAAATTAAATGGTCAGTTGTCGGCTAGCCAGGACATGGTAGAACAGTTGAAAGGAGACAAGCAAAGTTTATATTCAGGTAAGAATCTGTAAAACTGTAAAAGGCAATCTGTATATTATTGTGGAAAAGGATGAATGGAGGGCCATCATATATTAATTTAGAAGAGAGAAATATTTAAGTATTGAATATGAATATGTGGAAATTGTCATTTGAAACAAAACAGTACCACTACAGATGTACCACAAAATAAAATAGTACCACTACCTCTATTAAAGTCATGTATTGTGTACTTGGTTTATATAATTCACCTTCAACTTCCATTTTAGATTTGCAAGAACTGTGTCACAAATTATCAGAGAAAGATGAATTAATTGGTCAGTTGCAAGAGAAGTGCTCTGAGACAGTTGAAACAGTACATAATGAATATGCAATGGAGAAGGTGAAGATATCTAGGCAAAAGGAATCTGTAGAAGAAGAACTAAAAAGAACAAAGTATGCTTTTTTTAAATATGTAAATATCATTTATATTTCTGCTCTGAAAATTATAAGGCATGTTTTTTTGGTCTGTCTGTTCTTTCTCCCTCTCTGCCTGCATCTGCCCTCTTGAACAATTTGATTTACTATTGTTTTATCAGACTTTGTCTTCGTAATTGAATTCATCATTATTTTGTGCTTACACGCTGATTCTCCTAGAATATTTGCATACCTCCAGTTATTTAACAGTAAATTGTGTGCTTTTTTAATATCAATTAAAGGTAAATTTATGCTGTTTAATGTCAGTTGTTTTTCAGATTAAAGATGAACATGTATTTTATCTTTTTATCCTTGTTTTTCTTCTTTATTATAGAATGGAGCTGAAGGGGTTAAAGGAACAGCTCAAGCAGAAGGATATTCAGATGAATACGTATGGTAGAACCCTACTAGACCTGGAGGGAGAAACTAAGTATGTGTAGCTTCTTCTGTTTAACATAACCTGAGCTTCAGTTCACATGTTTGCCAGCTCCTTCATTTTAAGCCTTCATATTTGCACTCTTTTTAGATATAAACGAACATATGTAAAAAAAATTGAAAGTTAAGAATTTGGCCCACATTAGTGTGTAGCCTGCTTACACATCATGAAAGGAGAATCAGAGAAGATAAAATATGCCACATGCTGTTTTGTCATAACTTTGGCTGCATGGCTGGTTATTGATTATTTCTTCACTTACAGAGCCAGGCAACAGCTGGAAAACAGGGCAACGGCCATGGAAATGGAAGTTCAGGAATTAAAGCAGCTGAACAGTGCTCTGAAAGCAGAGAAAGTGTCTCTAACAGAGAGCAATAGACACTTGCAGGTATCTCCTTCTCTCTCTCTCTCTCATATTGTCATTTGTTAAAAGAGGGGAGGGGAGATTTCAAATTGTCTACAGACTTTGTAAGAAATGGAATTTTGTACGCTAAAATCTTACAAAATCAAAATTCAGGAATCATTTTTGTTGTGTGACTTTTGTTTGAAAAATAAAAAGTTGTAAACTAAACACTTCATGTTTAGGATGTGTTTTCAAAATTGGGTAAATTAAATGGGTTCTTTTTTGTTGGAGGGAGAAAACCAGACTCATTTCTTTTATGCTTTGTCCTATTACAAAAATAGAAAATTATATGCTCTAATTAACTCTTATTGATGTAAACCTGTTTAATTTAGGAAACTTCAGAAAGTGCAAAGGCTAAAATAGCCAGATTAAAGGAGACCATTTCTGAAATGCAAGAGAAGCATCAAAAGCAGACAGAAAACCTTAGGCAGAGTATGGCTGACAGAAATGTCAAACAAGAAGCAGAAATGTTGGACCGTAATGAAAAATACATTAAGGTGAGCTAAGTGGATCCATGTTGATATACCAGGTACACATTTAATCTCCAAACCATTATGTATATATATAGTGCACATTTATGTTGTATTGTGTTTTCAGCAGATCATAGAATATTTTGTGTAGCTGTAACCAGATATAGACTTGTGCTTTATTGCATCTGCAAATAGTTATTTATACATCAACAGCTGGGCAGGTGGGGTGGGGATGGGGCTTTTGGGATGGGGTTGGGGGGTTGAAGGTGCCTTGTGATCAGTAGCGTTATAGTGCTACATTGTAATACAAACATCCATCTGCCTTGGCTCCCTTCATTTTTGTTCACACAGGTCACTTTGTGTGGTCATGTCAATGTAGTCACTGGATTTTGTATGTTCATAGCATTTCCATGATTCTCACATCTTGGACACAATATCCAGAACTGGACACAAGAGGACACAAACATTAAACATTCATTTATTGCATAGTCCTCAACTCTGTTATTAACTTTTATCCAATCATATTATCTGACATCAAAACAATGATGTTGAAGTTGTTCTTTTATTATTTTTTCAGACAAATGCTACTCTGAAGACCTTAGAAGTGTCCCTGACAGCAGCAAATGAAACCAAGGAGCTCTATCTTCACAATAACAGACAATTGGAAAAGACCATAGACTCCTTAAAAACCCAGCTACATGAAGAGATCACCTTGAGAAAGTTGTCTGAGCAAAAGATTGATACTTATAAAACGCAGCTTGAGGAGGTTAAGAAGAGGAAGGTAAAGCCTTAGACACTCCTATGTACACTTTATGTGCATCTTGTCAAAAATAAATCTTTAATATTTTATTGATTACAATACTAGTATTTGCCCATACTACTCTGGTCAGTAAAAAGCCATGCATCTATCTGTTAGTTTAGATTATTATACTTACCTGTTGAATCAGAGAGAAAGGGCAGATTTTTAGGTCCTAGACTCACATTCAATTAGAAAAAAAAGTTTGGTTTTCCAACCATATGTATCTAAATTCTTGTAACATGGATGTATGTAAAAGAGAAACACATAATTAAATTTGTAGGTTACAGATGACCAGATAACCATTGACCTGCAGCAGAAGTTGAATGAGACAGAAAGGGCATTCAACATAGAGCACGAGAAACTTCAAAAATGTCGAGATGATCTCAGCAATATGGAGACCACTGCACATGCTCATGAATCTAAAGCGCAGTCACTGCTTGACCAGTTTAACACATTGCAGGTATGCATACCAAATAATGCTATACAGATAGAAAATTATTGATCTGAAATTGTGATATTTTATAGTTATCTTAAGTTTAAATGCCTTGGAAGCGAGATTTTGCAAATGCTAGTGACCATATGAAGAGCAATCAGCTTCTTCTGCTGAAGCTAGAGCTGGAGTTATTCACATATATTGTTTCCACATTCATCCCTGGTAAAAATTCCAGGTGGAATTCATAATGTCCTTTTAACTGAAAACAAAAAGAGACTGCCATAAATGAAAAATGCCTGGACTTGAGGCATAAGACTTTAGGACAGATTTTACTCAAAAATATTATCTTGTGATATAAAATTAGTTACAGCATTCAAACAAAATAGTTGATAAAATGGTTTTTAGCATAGAACATTACATTTAGTGTATTTTTATTGTAGATCATTAATTTCAGCAGTGACAATTCCANGAATATGTAACTAGCAGGAGGCTTCAGGCCCATGAGAGTTCAAATTCACATAATGAAAATGACAGATTGAGAAAAATGAACCATGTCTGTACATAAAAAGCTTAACCCAGAGTAATTTGTGAAGGAATTTAGTGCTAAAGAATGTTATAGCCTATTTAACCCTAATCACATGTGAATGTAACTATACTTTTCTATATAACACAAACAATAAACAATATCTAAGGATTCAAGAACTGTTTTCTATCTTGCTGTGGGTATTATTAAGATTAAATTTAAGACATTTGTTTCTGGCTACCCCTTGGAGATTTAATTTTGAATATCTAAGTTTTTTTTCAAATATGCAAAAAGACAGCGACCAATGTTACCATTCTTGATCAGACATGAAAAGTAAAGATACACACTCGCTGATCAATTTAGCAAACATTCACTTACTTCCATCCTTTCCTTTTCTTAGTTTTACTTCTAACCTGTAACATAGAATATCTTTATTCAATGTCATTTTCAAAGGAAGGTTTGATCAAAAGAAGGATCAATATGAAATGTTCACAATATTTTCTAATACCAAATATGCTTTGCTGTTAAATTCTATCACATCACTAAGACAATGATTATCCTGGATTAGGTTATTCATTATTATAATATTCAACGAAAAAGACGGCAATTTGGGAAAAGTTTACTTGCCTGTGTTTTGATTTATTTTTTCCTTTTTTACTGTGTTTAGCCGATTTCTGGACCCTCCCAGAATGATTCTGAATTGGTATACTGCCCCCAGCTTCACTACCACTGCTGTTTCCACTTCCATTTTGTGAACTTTGTGCATTGTGTGCTTGGGAAAGTTGACTACTTGGTGATTGAGATTCTGATGGACTGTTTGGCTCTCCTGGTGATGATATGATGTTAATAATAAAATAAATCATGAACAGCATTGTCCATCCTTATTTTATCTTTAGATTAAAACTAGACAGCAAAGCTGACAAATATACAGACATTAAAAAAAAAGTGCTGCTGTATTTTAGTCCTATGTTTCTTTCCTGTAAGTTTGAGAAGAGTAAGTGGCATAGTTTTCCTTTAATGGTCACTACTGCTGCAGTGCCCAAAATAGGGTTTTCTTCAATTTTGATGCAATATTACACAATTTTTAACAGCATAATCACCGCCAATCTTTAATTATGCACTGCAGCTAACATGGATATTTAGAAAATGTGATTACCAAAGGTCTTCAGGCCCACAGAACTTCAAAGTCACACCATGAATACACCAAAATGTAACCAAGAGTTCCATTTTTAAATTTTTGAAAGTTATGGGGCAAACTTCTCCAAAATTGTAAAAATAAATAAATAAATAAATAAATAAATAAATAAATAAATAAATAAATAATAATAACAGAATAATTACCCTAAACATAAACCCATCATGCCGATTTTCAAAAGCAATCTTGAACAAACATAGCCACTCAGTGAATTTAAAGTAAAATATATATATACGGTTGGGCAGTTATGGGGCGAAGGTCATGTGTCGGGCGGCAACAGCGAGGAAACGAACAGACAGCTTTGTATATTTATGAAACAGTACTTACTTTTGTCTATTTGATCAGCTAATCCACTTACAGCCTAAAAGTATTAAAAGTATGTTTTTTAAAATTTGCATTGCAATATCAGTATTTCTTTTCTGCAAACAATATGTTCTACTGTTACTGGACAACAATGAAGGTAACCAGTGTTTTACAGATGTTCAGGAATCTTATACATATTAGAGAGAAGTCCTATTACCTGCCATCCTTTCCTTAAAAAACTAATGGAAAAAGAATAAACTACTGTATATAAACTGAAAATAGGTTGAAGTTTGTTAGAAGGGTTACAAGCTTAATCCAGTTAAACATCCTTAAGGTAAATATTTTTAAAATACACCATAGAACTGAAAACTCTATTCCACAAGTCAATCTACATTTGATGAAAAGTGACTTATTATAGTTGCTCTGGTTGATCAAACAACTGTTAATGCCAAACCCTGGCCATCACAAATATAATTTAAACAGACAATAATTTCAATTTTCAAAGTGACATAAAACCATGTTTTTTAGTGGCACACTTTCAATACTTACTGCAGCAGAGGTAACAGAAGACTTGGAGAACAACCTGTCTTGTTCCTTAAATTTCCTATTCCTTTTATCTGCCTTACTGTTGGTGTTCCTATAATGTAAAGATATTCATGAACTGAGACATTCACACACACACACACACAAACAAAAAAAAATCAGATCTTGTTTTCAAACAAATTAATGTTTAAAGATGTCTAGACCACCCCTGCTTGCATGTACATAGACTTGTTTGTCTGTCTATCTTTATTTAAGTGCATATGCTGTAAACAATGATTATTGGCTATAGAAGGAATACATCTTTCATTTTGCCAAATTTAATGTGTTTGACTGGTAACCAAATAATCAGTCTCTATCACTCAAACTAATGTTTTAACATTATAGCAGTGCAATTCTGATGGTCAAATTGCAAATGGTATTCAATATCTGCCGTAACTTAACAAGAAAATGATTGCAGGTTTATTTTTGATCATTTAAGACATACTAATTTATAGGTTGGTTTTGCTTTGAATCCAAGATTTCTCCCTTTTTATGCGATGTTATTAGGTAAGTTATTTCTTTCTTATACTGAGGGGCCATGCTGATCAAAACATTGTCTTCTATTGCGATTTTTTACCTGTGAAAGAATCTGAAAATATTTAATACTGAAAAATGTATACGCTTTGTCATTTAACTACAAACACACGAGTGATAGATAATCTAAACGAAACCGAAAAGGCAACTTTCATATTCGTTAAACCCCCTTTACACCGGATGGCCTCCTTTCTGCGACCGTGAACCTGGTATCGCTGTGGTCGTAAAAAAAGAAGGCACATGCACCGCTTTGGTTGCAAATGAATGCTCAATGATAGGCCAGTTGTCGGCATGCAAAGGTATTATTGTTTTTGACTCTCAAACAGGACCGTACAACAGGGGTCAAAACAGAATTTGGGCAGGACTGGCCAATACGGACCAGTGGACCTTAGAGGTACTGGTCCGTACCAAGAAGTACTGGTCCGTAAAATTTTACATTAAAAATTAGTAGTTTCAAGCTACTAGATATAACGAAAACGCATACATGTTTAACATCCACTTTTATGACTATATGATTATCTAAACACATTCATATTCCAGTCAGTTCCTTTAACTGTTTGTACACATCCTCCTCTGCTAGCTCATCATCATCATAATATATAAAAAATAAAATGGATATATAAAAAATTATTATGAAATAAATATAACTTCTACATATATCCATATTTTAATCTTAAAAATTTAATTTAATTTTAATTGCTGGGGTTGAACGCGAAACGAAAAAAAACTTCTCTCAAACTTTACTAGCCCGAACCAAAAAACACTAGCCCAATTTACATAATTCATTTAAGTTTAAGCAGATGCTGTGAAGAGTTGTGGTATCATACTGTACTTTCTTATAAACCTTATTATAGAAGTAGAGCAAGTGAATAACAAAGTCAATCAGGTTAATTTCCAGTTGATGGTGTGGTAAAATTAATTAAGAATATATTTAATTGTTTTAATATTGAAAAAATTCTTTTTTTAAATCTGTAATACTGAATATAGTTACCCTTTTCATATTTTTATTATATCTTTTTTCCCATTTTTATATGCAATCAAAATCTTTTTTTTTAATTCCTATTCTTTTTATTGACAATGGCTCTTTTCTGACAATTTATTTCCAATTACATAGGTATATAATGCCACTTCTAATTTAAAATACATAGGTGCTGTAAGGGGAATTAAAAAAACGTCTTACAATTTTTTTGGTAACAATTCTTTTGGTTATATATTTGTAAAAACAACTTTTCAAGGACTTTACCAGGACAAAGTGTGGAGGGGTAGCCATGGCATAAACCGAACTATGCCACATTGTCAAGAATAGTTCATAGGGTATTTATGTAACTGCCATGTATTTACTCATGGACATTAAAATTATAAATAAAAAATATAAACAAAAAAGGAAATAGAATACTCCACCCCTCAGTCTGCTAAGTGGTCCTAGCCTAAATGTTCTATGAGATAACGCATACATTACACTTGCTTCGAAGACAGTGTTGTTTTGACAAAACCTGTTGCTAGTACCAAAGAATTCCGGTCTGATCCAGTTTCTTGATTGACAGCAATTTGTAGTCATGACAACAAACTGGTCAAATAAAAAGATGCCGACATGCTGATCAGACAGACTGCTGCTATAAATAACTACAGTGAAGCTATTTATAGCAACTAATCAATATTCAGTAGTTAGAGCTAGGTGTGAGTTTTTTCAACTAAGAGGCATATCATACTATCTAGAAACGTCAAATTAGAGGCAGGGACAAAGAAGACTGGCGACTCATATTTTTGAAATCTTACTGAGTGTTAAAATAGGTTCAAAATTACAGCTAGTGCTTTATAAAATTTCTACTTTTTTACTAGCCCAGTGCCACTTTAGGTGGGCAATTGCCTCAGGCTAGTGCTTAACGTCACAGACTGTGGGTTTGGCAACGATGTTCGGCACTTTTCAGCGGTCGCCAAAACGGACCAGTACCCGTGACAGGTAGTCGCCCGGGTCGTTTCTAAGTCGCATTGGCGAGTGGGCGACCGTCTGTTTCGACCCCTGGTACAACGGGACGCAGAAAGGACGCCGTCCAGTGTAAAGGGGGCTTTAGTGATCTGAATAGAAGGCATATTCATTCAAGGGACTGAAAGATTCCCAATGGGAGATCTTGAGCAATCTGGGCAAGCTTAGAAGGCAATTTTCATATTGTCAGCGGGAGATGGTTAGCGAGACGAGAAGGCAATTTTCGTAGTTGTTCAAGGGACTTAGTTTGCGGAAGATGGTCAGCGAGAGATCAAAAATGATCCAAACAAGGCGATAAGACATTATTCATATCATCAGTTGGAGATCATAACCAATCTGAGCAAGACAGAAAGGCAGTTTTCATATTTATTCAAGGGACTTCATAAGTAGAAGATAGTCAGCGGGAGATCGTGGATGATCCAAGTGTTATTGCAGCTCTTAATTGCTTCTCTTGTTCTGTTACACAAGACCCTACTGTTGACGATGCTACTCTGAGTCTCAGCAAAACTACTGATCGCTATCTCACACTAAGTACTCCAGTAATGAAACGATAGTGCGCCAGTGCAGCTCTTAACTGATTCTCCTGTTATCTTCATGGATGGTGATGATGATGTTGTTTGCGTTCAAAGCTGGCTCACGCTGCCCGTAGTTACGCCATGGAGTATTCAGGACAAAGACTGTGATCACAAGATACCACAAATAGATTTTCAGATTTTTAGAAAATAAATTTTTCATGTGAACACAGCCTAAGAAAAACATTTGCGCAAATTATTTTGACTGTACTTATTATACAAATAAAATCCAAACCACCTACTTTGTATTAGTAAGATATCTATCCCATCCTCGAATGATATTTCCATACAAAGCTGTATCTTCAAGGTAACTACCTTCAAATGCATAGATCTGTCTCTCCAAGTTGGCCAAGGTTTCCTTAAATAGAAGTAAGGTACAAATACAAATCAAATGTCATGTAAAAATGACAGCATTAATTAACACAATACAGGTAGCTGGCATATTTAACACAAAATGTGGATAGTCAGATTTAAGCAACACTATAAAACATTACCCTAGACCTCAGTACAATGTTTTCGTACATTCTTTCTATTGAGACACGGGTAAAATCCCTACGACAAACGTTGGCATTTTCCATTTTAGCGACCAGTGTGACAGTAATCATTAATGGTAGCCTGCTAGTTGCTGAAGTCTGTTACTTTTTCAGGTGGCATTCGCTCCATAAACTTTCTTGTACCCCAATACTCTGACTAACCCTAGCCTGTAGTAATCATATTGGACACCTGACTTCCATTTCTAGGACTGGGACTACCATTCCTGTCACACCGGCCCATCCTAGATCCTCTCTGTGTCCTTTCACAGGTAGTTGGAACCAGGGCAAATTTACAGACTTTCTCTATCTTATTTATTGTATTCTAGACAGATTCTTTGCTATATCTTGGGGATATGAGTCTGTAATCGCATCTGTTGATGTTCTTTTTAAATTTAATTGTGAAGCAAATCAGATGAAGATATAATTTTTTATTTGCGAGGTTGAAAAAAAAAAAGATTCGCACACACAGACTGCATAAAACTGGAACAACTTGGTCATGTTCGTGCATTTGTTTTAGTTTTTCTATTGTAATAAAGAAATGTTTTTATGCATTTGCACAAATACTACTATACGGATACTTGAGAATGAAGTTTACTTAAAATCATTTTAAGTGTATACAGAAAAAAATGAAATTCTATATCCATGCAGATTTAACTTTTATCTCAAATTTCTGGATTTTATTATCATCATTATTATTTTATTTATTTTTATTTATGTATCACTTTTAAGAGCTCCATTAGTTTTCATGTTTCTGAGTTATATTTTGTACATGTATATATTAANGAGCCTACATCACTTCTGGTACTTATTGAAAACTTACTAGGTCGGTTTTGCTTTCTTTCACGTGCGGATGGATTGTCGGATATGGTCACCGTCCTGGGTGTCAGTCCATCTTTAAAAAAGGAAGATTTTTACGAAATCAAAACATTGAAGAATCACGTTATTCCACCCAAGGACATTTTATCAATTGCCTTGCCTAATATTAACACAGTATCTTTCAGAATGAAAAAGGCTGCTATGGTTATTGCGTTTTGAATGCCTTACTTTTAGTTGGAGTTGCAAAGCCATTGGTTTTGTTTGGTTCCACGACGTTCCGAGTGCTTAAATAATCACTCATTGACGTGCTTCTCGTATGTTCCGTTATGGCATTTTCTATGGTAGTGTCTGGCTCAGTGACTATGTCACTTGGCATAGTAGTCGCTGGTTTAGTGACTGTGTCACTCGTCAAAGTGGTGACTGGCTCAGTCACAATGTCACTCGTCAAAGTGGTGTCTGGATTAGTTACTATGCCACTGGTCAAAGTAGTATGGTCCAATTTAATGGCCCCCGTGGAAGTCGCTGTTGAGACATCCTGTACTGTCGTTGACAAGGATCCTCCGGTGGTGGGGTCGTGGTTTATGGGGGCTGTTGTGGGTTTCAGTGTCGGGGCACCGCTACTTGGCTCCAGTACCACTACCGCTGGAGAGAAATAAGCAACAGGTAGCCCTACTTCCGTCACAATAATGAGGAGTTTTGGATTATTCCAGTACTAGGGGTGATATTTAAAGCGAGTGTAAAATATGTTTTTACCTCAACAGTTAATCATTAAAAAATAAAATTTGTTTAACTAAGACGTGCTGTGAAAAAAACAAAACAAGCGAAGAGAATGTTTGTATCTTAAGTACCACTGTCTTAAACCATACCGAACTGGCAAATGAAGTGGTGCATAGATGTTATGCTTTCGGACATCCACATAAAGTCCTGTTTAAACGCTAATTTCGCAGCCTGGATAATTGAAGGGTTCATTTGCGGCGAATTAAGCCAGTTGCTGTAGTTAACTTTTCCTCCTGAGATAAAATAAATACAAGATTAATTAAACCATTTTATCAAAAAATACCAATTGCAATGGAATATGGCTCTTTCAGTTCTGCACATATGAAAGTATGTTTCAGGCGTCTACATACATTTCAACCTATTCGTGGAGTGAGATGATAACAATAATTCTAACTCCATTTATCTGCTAAACCATAACTTTCAACTTACCAGTTTCCCAAATCCATTTAAAGGGGGCTGTTCTGTTCCACACGGCGCCAATCCAGTAGTTTCCACCGAACTGCCACTGTTCGCGGGACACGTTTTGGATCTGTCGGATCAAAGCGTCCATAGTTGCACGGTTGTCAACATGTGCGAGCCGCGCCCCTGTACTGGTGCACATGGCATTAGCCTGGCCCCACGTGTACCCCTTACGGTCATCTGAGAGGTCTGCATTCAGACAATAACACGAACCAACGCCTGCAATGTACACACACGTCTTTGGAATGGTAGGCGAGCACGTCTGCCCTTCTAAAATATAAATAAGTGTAAGTGTTATAACATTTGGTTATTGCATAATGAGTATATCTTTCACGCCTACAACACAAAAATAATAACTATCATTCAAAATCTTAAAAGTGTCTCTCTGAGAGGAAAGTCTCAATGCTTCAAATCCACTGTATCATTATCAATGGTCAAACTACTTCCGTCATTAGTTTCTCTGTTCTCCCTCTTCTTGCCATATCCTTGATAACTGTTAAGTTCCATAAAGGTCTTGAGTATACTTCAAATATCAATTTATTGAATTTTCCATTGCAAAACGAAATTTGCTTTCGAATTCGATAAATGAAAAATACTTTCAATGCAAAATTGATTTCATTAAATAATCCTTCTTTACCGTATTCGCAAACAGCGTTAGATTTAATTCCATGGATTTCTCTTCCGTCAGCGTCCCATCTGTGGAGGTACGTGGTATCTGCTCTCTCGTCGTTCCACTCGTAGTTAAAGTCCTTCCACAAGGCCACCCTATCCTCCTGCCCGCCGGCGTCATTCGGCTCGTGGACGGCCCAGGACGTCCACCCAATTTCTCTATTAGCTGTGCAAGTATCAACCAAATTATATGTCAGTGAGCAGCTTAGGCTTTTTATACAGCTCATCACTAGGGCTGATAGACATGAAAAAACTTTGTTGCGAATCAATATTTACTAACCAGTAGTCCAAAAATGAAAACAATGGGCAACAGACTATTAACCTAAATAAAAACTACATTTCCCTCTTGAAAACGCATTTTACCTGCCCGACGCTTAATATATACGTCCCATCCCATTACTTCGGGCAGATGGATAACATCGAATGCATAAATAACCACTTTTGGCATACACAATAATGCTTTATGGAGGGAAAAGCAAGCGGACAAAATGACAAAAATCTTCAGCATTTGACTTTAGAAAAGATGGGAGTGTCATGTTGAAAAACAAAAAAAAAAAAACATTAAACGGAAAGACATGCCCTAGAGGCTTTCCCTAAGCCAAATGACGAAAATAACAGATCTTAATGATAAAACAGAACTTACTGTCCGCCCAGAACCAGCGCTTTCTTGATAAGGCGCCGATCCAGACGTCACCACGCGCCCCCTTTAACAGCATCTGTTTAATAAAGTCGTCTGTGTCCTTGTCGTCAATGGCGGCCAAGTGCCCTCCTTGGTTTTCACAGTAGAACCTCGCTTTTGACCAAGATTGATCTTCGTGAATTACCTCGAAACATCTGTGATTGTAGTACACGGAATTTTTCCTCTCACAGGTTTCTTGTCCTAAACAAAGTATATATGTTGACATTTACTTACATTTTTCTTGCCTTTTTTCATTCTTTTTCTTGAAAGATATTTGGTCAAAACATGATTTTATAAAGCATGAATTTTCACCACTCGTGTGCTCTGTATCTGTATTCATAAAGCAGACTTTTGGCAAATCTTTAAATTTCGTGATTCATATATTATACGTCTTCACTATCCAAATTCAAATATTACTATACAGTTTACAAGAAAAATAAAAAAATTTGAGAAATTTCTCTTGAAAGAACAAAAAAAAATGTATACCTGCAGTCCCTGAGACAAACAATACATGGAAAGCGACACACCGAATGTAACAATGCATGACAGATTTATCATTAGAGAATAGAGAATCTAGTTTGGCGTAAAACTATTACACCGTTTCTATTTGATGCCAGCCCACACGTACATAAACACATACGTAAAAACAGTCACATTTATCCGTTAAAGATACACTCAAGATAAAGCCAATTGTTTGTTATCTTTTGGCCATCTTATCTGTTTGTTTTTAGCACGATGTCGTCTTGTAAACGATTGACATGATTTGATAACCGGGATAAAAAGTCAATAAGTAAATGCTTTTCGGATTCCAAAATGGGCGCAGTATGATAACGCTATGCTCGATATTCTTACTCCATATATATACGTGAGATGGTTTAATTACGTCTCTAAATATCGTAAAATAACGGAAAGAAAAGATGACAAATAATAGTGTCTACCTTTAGCTTATATAGATTTTGGACAAACACTAGGAGTGTGAACATGTTCTAAATGTATTCCAACGTATATAGTAAGATACACAAATCACGAGAGAGAGAGGGGGGGAGGGAGAGAGGTAATACAATACGTAGATATCTTTTCCTTTCCCAGGTAAACGTGTGTTTCCACTATCCCTGTTGTCAATTGTTCCACCAATACTCTGACAGAAATCCCTGTCATAGGATTAAGTCGGATTTCTTCTATCTGACATGGTGTTAAGTTTGCCTGGTGCTCTGATGTGCCAGTAGCAACCCAGGTTTGTAACATATCCGAGTGGCATTTTTTTTTAATTTATGAACATATTTACAAGCAATTGCGAAAGGGATATAACGATTATGTATTACACTTGGGAAATTATGAAAATATAATTATAAAAGTAATGAATAAACAAAACAATAACAGTAACATAAACACAGCATGTTATCTACAAACTATAAAAGCGTCATCTATGTTTCTGAGACAACATTCAACATATTTGCTGAGATTAACTATGCTGGTTAGGCCTGTTGGAACAATATATGATAAATATATCTTACTGCTCCCGTTGTAGGATTAAGTCGGCTTTCTTCTATCTGACATGGCGTTAAGGTTTGCATGGTGCTCTGATGTGCCAGTAGCACCGCAGGTTTGTAACATATCCGAGTGGCTTTTTTTTAAATTTATGAACATAATAATATGGCCTTGCAAAAAAGAAATATGATTACGCATTACGATTGGGAATTTATGAAAATATTAAATTATAAAGGTAATTTTAATTGTTAAAACTGTTAAAACAGACAAAACAATAACAATGACAAATACCGCGTGTTGTCTACAAACTATTAAAGCATCATCTCTGTTTTTGACATAAATTCAACATATTTGCTGACATGAAATTTGCTGATTAGGCCTGTTGAAACAATAAATGAATAAATAAATCTGACTGTTCAGAAAGTTAAGATGCCAGGTAATATAATAATCAATCACTTTAAGTTGCTATTGCTTACCTTTTATAGGACTAGAACAGGTGTACCCGTCACCAGTGTAGCCAGAATTACAAGAGCAGGTATAGCCACCATTGGTATTGGTACAGCTAGCCGAAGTGCTGCAGTTGTTGGTTGTTTTGCATTCATCAACATCATTACAGTTATAGCCGTCACCGGTGTAGCCAGAATTACAAGAGCAGATATAACCACCATTGGTATTGGTACAGCTAGTCAAGGAGCTGCAGTTGTTCGTTGTTTGGCATTCATCAATATCATTACAGTTGTAGCCGTCACCAGTGTAACCAGAATTACAAGAGCAGGTATAGCCACCATTGGTATTGGTACAGCTAGCCGAAGTGCTGCAGTTGTTGGTTGTTTTGCATTCATCAATATCATTACAGTTGTAGCCACCACCAGTGTAGCCAGAATTACAAAAGCAGGTATAGCCACCGTTGGTATTGATGCAGTTGGCTAAGGAGCTGCAGTTGTTGACTGTTTTGCATTCATCAATATCATTACAGTTGTTGCCGTCACCAGTGAAGCCAGAATTACAATAGCAGGTATAGCCACCATTGGTATTGGTACAGCTAGCCGAAGTACTGCAGTTGTTGGTTGTTTTGCATTCATCAATGTCATTACAGTTGTAGCCATCACCGGTGTAGCCAGAATTACAAGAGCAGGTATAGCCACCATTGATATTGGTACAGCTAGCTGAGGAGCTGCAGTTGTTGGTTGTTTTGCATTCATCAATATCATTACAGTTATAGCCGTCACCGGTGTAGCCAGAATTACAAGAGCAGCTAAAACTACCGGGTAAATCTGTACACTTTGCGTGTTGACTGCAGTTGTGGGTGCCCAGGGTACACTCGTCTATATCTGTGAATATGAAAGCATTTCATAATTCATTATTTTTGTGAAAGTTTTAATTAATACCACATTTAAAAATAATCAAAACAATACCATATACATAGTGGAAGTTGTACTTTTTAAAGAACTAAACATTTTTGACATCTGCATTTGCCTTCAAGACGAAGATGACAGAATCTGAGTGACACAATTCATGTATTGGTGATGTGAGTCATTTTAAAATCGATTCCTGTAAATATAGAAACGATCCTCGTGAACGGAGATACATGTACAACTGGGTCGGTCACGTATTCGACCTGTATGTAAAAGACCATGTCAAATTAAGGCCCAATCAGTGACCCACAATGGCACCATAAATGTAAAGATAGACCTACTTGAGCAACCTGCTGTCATATTCCACTTTCCACTTGGAAGACAAACTATGGAAAAGCTACCGTCTCCGTTCATGTGGTACCCGTCTTCACAGACATAGCTAGAACTCATCATGTCTGATCTCACCAGTTTACTGTGCTCTGGGTGGAACTCAGGGCATCTGGGACCTAGTGAATATAAATCCATTGTTTTGATTGGGACAGCTCACGATTTTTTATATTCTAATGCACTAGTACATGTACTTTATGACATTAAGTTCAAATTCCTTATAAGTAATTTCAGCCTTACTGTGAAATTTTTACTACAGGGGTACATACACTACATTCAAAGATTATTATATCTTTCAGCTATACAGCTGGACGATAAGACTCATATTTATAACCGTCACTCCTTATAACGAATCAGACTTATGTAAACCTCTGAGAATGCAGAACTGGAGCAATTAATAGCAAAACGGGTATTTCTGTCAATTAAATATTCGCTCCCTACCAGACTGGCACATGTAGTAGTTCGTGTCTGTGTCAATCCCAGTGATCCATCTGAATTCTCTTGACCAGCCAAGTTTGATGGCGTTGCGAGCATGTGCCTGCTGGGTTCCATGCGAGTCCCAGTTAAAATAGTCCAATTGCTTTCCTGCAAGAAAAAAGACACACAAAGGAAAATAAAATCACATTAATTATACATCAGATGATTCATGAAGCAATATCATTATTAGGTTATTAAGTTTTTCTTTTAACGTGGGTTCAAACAGTAAAACGACATCAAGGAATCCTATATTTCTTTATCTGCATGATAATATAAGGGGAAAGCGCACAATTCATGACGCCATAAACAACTTTTCGTACCGACTGTCTGGCAAAAAGTAGTCAGATATCTAAATAACACGCAAAGGAAAGAAAACGGTGAGTTGGAATTTCCATATTCCGTTGCACAGCACATTCACTCATCACATCACGAACTGTTTATGTATTATCTACCGTTCCGCTATATAGTGCATGAACTGCGTGACTCGTCGTCAGCATCAGACTCCTACCAATCTAAGTTTCTAGTGACCCACGCTCAACCCCCTTTATAGATATAGTGCCGTTATCAAATAATTTATAGATTTACCATTTTCCCAAACCCACATATATGGTTCTTCCATGCTCCATACGGTGCCCAGCCAGTAGTTACCAGCGTAACGCCACTTGTCCCTCACGCTTTCTGCTTTAATAAGGCTGACTAGAGCATTTTGTGTGGACTGGTTTTCGATATGTGCCATCCTTGCTCCTCTGTTGAGACATAGATTGTTTGCCTCTATCCAAGAATATCCATCTTCGTCTCTTGGGCCAATGTGAACCTCCAGACAAAAACATGATCCATTGTGAAAGACGCTGGATCCACAGTTAGCTACTCCGGAACAGCTCTGGACGTTGGCTGAAATATACCGCAATGTTTTTATAAGAGTAAATATCGTTATATGAATAATTATGAAGTCCAAGACAACAGCGTCGACATATCACGAATACATCCAAACAGCAAAACATTATAAGCGAATATGTGCTACCCTACACTGTAAAAACAGTGTTTAGTATTTAAACACATTTCAAAGCGCTTGTTTTGTCTCACTTTTTCGACGCGTTTAGCTCCTAAGCACTTTAAGCTCCTTAACATGTTACACCCTTTGACGCGTTTGACGCCGAATAAATGTAGGATGTATTTGCTTAACTTTTAGGTGGTAAGGATTTTATACACACACACACACACACACACACACACACGAAGTCATTTATTCAAGCAAATATTCTCTTTATTTTCATTATAATTTTCTTAACACTATGTACAACTTCAACCCACTGGGTTGCAGTCTTAATAAATTATTATTATTATTTTATATTATTTTGATTTGCTTTTTTAGACCTTAAGGTTATGAGCAACTGCCACTATGATGTCCTGAAGAAGAGTTTTTTACGTGGAAGAGGAACTCCATGGCTCTCCACCAAAAAAAGAGGAACTTTTCTTGAGGGTCCAAAGCGGGGACGAGTTGGATAGTGAGAGACTTTTCCTGACTTTCGAGTGCTGCTTACAGGATATATTCAGTGAACTCATCTTGCCAATGTGACAAAGCATAATCTGCTGACTTCAAACCATCTAGCACTGACATGTATGCTAAAATGCAGACAGATTGGAAATCAAGGTGGTCTTTCCTCCAAAACCTAAGTCATATGCCTGATATTGAGAATAAACCATTTTGGTCCAGCATTTACTTCTTAAATCTAAATGACATCAAATGTATTATGGAATATGGTACTGGTGGCATATTGTGATTTCAACTTGATTTTAAACCAGTGTCTTGTTAGATTTTGTAAGATCACCAGTTGCAGTATTGTGACTTTGTTACAGCATAAAATTCTGTATTTGGCAAATGACTGCATGTCATTTCTTTTAAGACCTACAAAAATGGTTTGAGTGAACACTTGTGCCTGTATTTAAATCTCCACTCAGCCATTATTTAGAATTCATGCAGGGAAGTCATGTCTGTATTTTTTAAAGAAATATTTATACCTTTCTATTTATTCCCTGCACATCTTGGAAAAGTATGTGTGAATATCTTACCGATGAAACAATTTATGTTTGTGTAAGTTATTCTTGTATTTTTGCCAAATATAAATAAAAGATGTTTCAATATTTAAACTTTTATTTCATTCATAATATCTACCCAGTTAATGCTACATTAATACTGCAGCTTATGCTTTGTGCATAACAATATGTTAATTAATAATAACAGTTGGATAATACATGTTGTTAATTTACTAAAGGGCTAGTTCTTAGAAAAACATATTTGACATTAAAATATATTCTAAAAAAGTTTTCAAGAATTGCATTAGAATTGAATCTTTGGATGTATTTGACAAAATTATAAAATTATTGAAGAGTTGACAATGCCCAGAAAATAAAGGCCTTGAGGCTCTCGCTGATCTCAGTCTTGTCACTTTAAATACATGTACATGGGCATTATAATATAAAACTGTTCACTCAGTTTTGGTAAAAGGTGGTGGATCATGTGGTCATCGCTGCAAAATTTTTATAGCAGTCTTTTACACAACTTGTCACACCGACATTGAAGTGATGCAGTATTGTAAGATTGGAGTGCTTCCTGGTATGAGTTTTCCAGATATAACTTGAGGCACTGTAATAGTAAAATTACATAAAATGGTTTTAAAGAAAAAAATGTATTGATATTATCATAACAGCACTATTCTTTAACAAAAATCAACAAATTAGAGGGCATGATCACTACATGATAACCAGCTTATAATAAAGAAGCAAGTATGATTATGGCAAAAAAAAAAATTAAATTTAAATATCTGTAGCTGCATTAAATCATAAAGGCCATAAGAAGAAATAACATAATCACACATGGTTTCAAAGAACTGATGTAAAAAAATCACACTAATATTCCCCACTTGGAATTAGAATTTTGACTAGCTAATTTACTACAGTAAAGTGCTAAACCGTACCAAATGGCACTGTTCACCCTCTAAAATACCAAAGTTTTAAGCAGGCCCAGGACCCCACGCCAACTAGGGGGGGTCGGCTATGCATCCGCGGACCCCCCCCCCCTTTCAAATAATCCTGGATCCGCCCATGTTATACTGCTAAAATTCTTAACATACCTGATCTCTTCACTCGTGCTTGAAGGGGTATATCACCCAATTCCTCCTCTGAAAGGCTAAAAAATCATTCCTTATAATCATATTCATTGACAATATTATTAAATGAACAAATAAGCTAACGTAGTTACGTGTCGTACAAAGAACACCCTCTAACCCCACTAGTACTCGAGTTACATTGTATATCTCATGGGATTCCCCTGCGAGAATATGGTGTGAGGTTAGTCTGTAAGTACTGGTAGATGACCACATTGAGCAGAAAAGGGTATTCCTCCTGCTTTACAGAACTATACACCTCAGGGGTAAAGTGCACTATCTCGCTTCATATAACTAGTAGTAAGTACCCAGTGCGAGTGATTTGGCTGCGAGTGCGTTACCCGAGGAAACGTTAATTATTAGCAGTTATCTACGCTTTTTAACTTCCTCTGCCAGACATTTTGATTTCCACTGCCATCTTCCCATTTTAAAGTACTTTTGGTAAATATAACTCGCTTACCTGCAAAGATTCGGTGAGCAATTCCTCTTCTCCTTCACGTCCACGCTCACCTTCGAAACGACATGCTGTTTGCATTGTTTACATCTCGTATCTGAGTCGAGAAGCCGCGTTATTTCAAACTGTGTCAAGATGGCTGACGCCCGGGGTTCGAAAGTGGACGGTGAATATGATTCTTTTTTTCGATATTGATTAAGGCCATTTACCTGCCATTTTATGCTTTACCCATAGCAATTGTTCTCAGATAAGTTAAAAAAGAAGCAATCCATGCACTAAAAAGGCGTTTTTAATCCTATTTTTTGTCCCTTTAAGTTAATAAAAGTTATTATAATTATCAATTTTAAGCATCCTATGTGTATAGGATTTATGTCTATGAGATGTATGTGCTGGAGGGTCCAAATATTCATGTATTAATTTAACTCCTATTCAATGATATTGATATCTATGCTGTATTAATTCATGAAAACAAAGGTCTTAAAAAGTGTGTGATGAAAGCCAGTTGCCGAACCAGCCACGGTGCAAGTTTTCATCTTGCATCTCATCTCCTCAACTTTCACACTCTTGTAAAGTCAACCGGTTTTCCCATCAACAGAGTTTTCGGTTTTACTGTGAGATAAAAAGTGCGAACGTCTACATTTCAGATGAATAATATCTACGAGTATTTTGGGCTTAAAACTTGATAGGCTGACTGCCTATGAAAAAGTTTACCACTTTCAAATCTAGCGCCACTCAACGTCATTCACTATCATCTTTTGGCGCCGGAAGTGGACTATTATTATGCAAGGGATTAGTTGCCATACTGATGCACCCCTGTATACTTAGGATACGTCCAGTTTACTGTTAGAATTAGTTTATACAGCAAATTATGTATAATCTTACTTACAGCTATTTCAGCTCTTCTTTTCACCAACTCCGTTAGTTCTGCTCTTGAATCGACAGTCTGGGGTGTTCTCTGTCCCGCCATTTTGAATTTTGTGTTGCGCATGCGAAACCGGAAATATAGTAAATATTGCTGCAGAATGTAAACAGCCAGTTGGGTAGCGACTAATGTGCAGTAACTATAACTATTCTATGGGGCGGAGATCCTATCAAAATTGTCAGATGGAATACAATATTTCGTTCATATGTTTGTTAATCGAAAACTTTAATGCATTCAGTGTCTTCGCCCGGCAGGTTGTTGAGTTATCATTTTCAGTCTTCCCAGTTTGTTGCTCTTCTCTGAAAATCCATTCGTTAGCACTCGATTCTGATATGTACTGTCTATGATCCGGATCAATAATCAATCAATAATCAATAAATAATCAAAAATAAAAAACAATCATTATAGAATGAAAATTTAGGGTTGAAACGGCACTGGGTGGAGACTTTGCTGTCTTGGCGGAGGTCTACGCTCTCAGAGTGCTTTTCTAGTTCTTTTTATATTTTCAAAGTTAGACTAGAGTCAAATGTTTCATTTTTTTCTGGAATGCCAATTATGCAACTCTACTGAAAAAAAAACTGCAGGAGCGGATACAGGATTATTTTTTTAAGGGAGGGGGGGGGGCGCGGGGGTTACTGAATTGCAAATGGCTCCGGCTTCATAGTGACGCGTGCTCCACCCATTGGACGTGGAGTTGGGCCTGGCAGCTCATTGAGAATACATTCCGGCTCTAACAAAACTTTGTATACATTAATTGGTGTGACTTAATTTTTTCAACAAACCGAGAGGGGTGTGTGTGTCAAGACTCCCCCTAAAGCCACTGCATTGAAACTGATTTTCATACGAGGAGTCTGCATTTCTATGTAAGGAAAATCACTTTAAAGTGTATAAAGACCAACAACTTCTCAAGAATATATAGTACCAAATGTGCCAATAAAATCATAGAAGTAGAAAAAGTAAATGTACTATATGTACTACAAATATTCATGTATGAAAATGACATTTTATCAATATTTATTCATACAATAATTATCCGTCTTCCACAATGTTACTTTTCAGAAATTCAATGTTCATAATATTTACAAGTTCACTTACAATTTCAATGTTGTTTACAAAAAAGTAAGAAATTTTCACTTTCCGAGTTGCCTTTAAAGAGTTTTAATTTTTTCAAATTACAACTAACATGGTGTAAGCCTTCATCAGAATAGATGCAACCTGTTATAATTAATTCTTCCAAATTGGGAAGACTCTTGGCAACAGTATTTATACCATCATCATTTATTCTATAACATCCATGCAGATCTAATGATTTTAAAGTTTTTGCTTTGCAGATTTCTTTTAAATGAGTGTTGTTGACTTTACATCCTTGCAAAATCAGATGAGTCAATTTTGGCAGTTGTGACACTATCTCTGGATACCATTCTGCTGGGAAAATACATTTGCTTAGATTTAATAGTGTTAAACTTGAAGGCAATGGACTTCTTTTTAAGTTGACATCTTCTAAGTTGGACAAAATGATATGAAGTTCTCTCACATTTGGACATCTTTCTCGCATGTCTTTTAAAGCTGCTTCTGAAAAAGATGGTTTCTTCTTCTTTGGCCCTAAATATTTATAAAAAAGAATAAAAGTATTTTGTTTCCATAGTTATAAATATTCAAAAAAGTAAAATAAACAATGCGCACAACAAGAGGAATCTACTACTAGTATGAACTGCAATGATGATGTCAATTTTTTTAGAAATAGAAGTGTCCAGCATTTTTAATTGGCTTTTTACCTGAATCCAAAAACCCTCTCATTTTAACAGTTAGAACAGCTTCTGAAAAGTGTGCTCTCATCAATTTCCACATATTTGGTAAATTGATCTTGTAATCAGAAAGATCAACATGTTTCCATAAGGTTTTGTCATTCGCAATCCTTCTCCATTGGGAACAGACTCTGTAAGTGTAAAAAATATATATTTAAAAAACATGAGTCAGAAAAAGACTTTCAACTTCAGTTATGGTTGCATTTCATTTTACCTGTATTAGTCAGAACATTTTATTTTAAAAGCACATGCACTCCATGGGGTTGAAAATCCCCCATAAGCCTATTTTTCCATCTACAGCTTCTTATAAAAACCTTAAATTCACCTTAAAAATTCACCTTAAATAATTTTTGCTGGAGTGTACCTGATGTTTATATTTCCATCGGAGCTTAAGAAGATGGTTGATGGTTGTAATGACTGGCCAGTCATTTTAAACTAATACCCCGTTCACACTACAGTCATTTATTCGAATAAATTGTGAATTAGGTCCTGATTCAAATAATTGTAGTAATCTGAATGCGTGAGGATTTTTGTTCACTGGTTTCTCAAAATCCTGGTAGCGGGCTAAATTTTATTCAGCGATTTGAATAATTTACCAGGACTGACAGCTGCGGATGTGTGCAGTAAAAAGCTGGTAGCTATGAACACTTGTTTATCACTTTAAGGATTGCACCAAACATATTTGGAGGTCACTGCTCACTATAACATGGGGATTGAAACATAAACTTATTTTGTCATCTGATACGTTTCACGAATACTGTAATGTCTTTGAGTTGCACTTGCCGTCACAAATAAAGACAAAAGCTGAGTACGATTAGAGTTGTAAATGGCACCATATTTTTGTTTGGTAATTTGAGTTTTCCTGTGCGAGTTTTCAAAACAGAAAGTTAAACCTAAAATTTTTTAACTTGAGACTCAGTTTTGCTTTGGGTGTGTAAACAAACAAGGGAATTGGATTTTTCACCAAAAGTTTGAATTTAAAAAATCAAGATTTTTCAGATGGCAGTGTGAATGGGGTATAAATCAACCCTTATTAATTCAATTAAAGGTCAAATCCAAGTGCAGAGAGGGATAGATAACGATGTAAATTGTAAGTGCATGCGATAAAATTGCTTATTTCCCCAGGAAAATCCATTTTGGCCAGCAAGTCCCATGGAGGTGTCCTTTAAGTCAAGTTAAAGGGATAATAACTCTTCATATGAGATCTATATTTCACAATAAAAACATTGTGAAGAACTAGCCCAGCTAGAAAAGTAGTCCCCTTTGTAGTCTGCTTGCAGTCTCCTTTACAGTCCCCCCATGGAGCCTGCTTTGCAGTCTCCCTAGCAGTCCCCGCTCCCATAGCAGCCTCCTTTGCAGGTATCCTTAAGTACGGAGGGAGTCCCCTTGGCAGTCTTAATTTGCACTTTTGGAACGCGCTGCCAGGGGGACTGCCTGGGCAGTCCCNAGCCCCCTTTGCAGTCCCCTGCAAAATGTTTAAGTTATTGCAGCCTCCTTTGCAGTCCCCTGCAAAAATATTTAAGTTATTGCAGCCCCCTTTGCAGTCTGCCTGCTCAAGGAGACTGCACACTGGAGCCCCAGACTGCAAAAGGACAGTCTCCCTGGCAGTCTCTCTGGCAGCCTGGGCTCCTGTGGGCAGCGGGGGCTCCCATTCTAGCTGGGCTCACAGAAATATAATACATTCTTTTTTACCACAAAAACGGCAGTTATAGCTCTTATTCTGATATCCGAGCTTGTCTTTAGACCACGTGACCTCCATTGAAGGCTATACTCTGTTAAAATCTCTTAAAGAGATTTTAACAAAAAACCAAACTTTTTAGAAAAAAACCAGGGACTAACTTTGAATGTAAAAATGGATTCATTAACCATTAGTAAGTATGATTGCGCTTGATAGGCATGAACAGGTAAAAAGAGCCAACTAGATCACAAAGGTGTCAAGAAATAAGATGCACCCTATGCGTAACGGACAACAGCAACTGATTCAATAAGATCTACTGTATGGCAGAATTAATCCTTTTTTCATAAACCTAGCATAATTGTACAAATAAAAAAGTGTGAGTTAACAGACGAAATTTTACATAGCATTGTATTCAGTAATTTAAAGATGCGTAACGAAGGAAATTCCCTTGCGTCAGTTTTCGGCCATACGTGGTCACTGGTAAGAGGTAAGGGTACCGTGAGCATGTAAGAAAAACTGAGACAAGAAATTGTGTTTCAAGCTGTGAAGGAAAAAAAAAAAAAAAATATATATATATATATATATATATATATATATATATATATATATATATATATATATATATATATATCAGGGTTCTCCCCATGCCTTTATAGCGTATCGGCACCGATACGCATCTCTTTTTGCCGATACGCATCACTTTTTGCCGATACGCTTCTTTTTTGCCGACACGATTCTTTGAACTCCGATACCCTTTAAGAGTGTGTGAGTGACCAATGCCTTTAATGCCTTTATTCCTGACAGTAGCGACGTAAACGACTTGTGTGCGTACTTGGATCTCTTGTGTGCACGTTAAGTTGTTTATTTTTATTCTGCCTGGCGCAGTAATACAAGTATTAACTTCTCATGTTGAGGGCGCGGGACCTGCGTCCTGACAAGTTTTGAATATCAACATCCGCTTTAGGTTCGTCATCAATGTGATTCTGTGAGATTTGTTTGCTTTATCTGTATTTTTGGAGAAATATAATAAATAGTCTATCCTTCATGTTATTTTGACTGAAGAATAGTAGCAGTCGTGATCATTTATAAATAAATGTATCCATGCGGCAAGAGAAAATATCAGAAAAGATGCAACGCTATTTTTACATAAGCGCCTGTCCGGGACAGGTAAAAATTCAGCTCGGACAGGTGCAGTGTTGGCTGTCCGACAGACAGGTCATGATTTATGAGAAATTTGGAGCAAAAATCTTTTAAAAAATCATTTTTGATGCATACCAACGTCTTTTTGTCTCCTCCTAGACGGTACTGAAAAGAGTGACCTACTTCTGGCACAAAACACGTGCAGGCGCAAAACGAAGTCTGAGCAAACTTACAGCTAAATTATGAAAGTGAAGGGGTCCGCCATATAGATAAACGTCCCAATAAAATATTCGTCCCGATAGATACGTCTCTATACATACACGTCTCAATAGATTTACGTCTCGTTACATTTACGTTCCGATAGATCCACCAACAGATTCCTATAAACCCACGTATCTTTAGATCCAGGTACCGCTAGATCCATATCTATCTGACATCGTAATCGGCTAAAAGGCCGATATCAACTTGTGATAGGCCTACAGGTATGAGGCTTTCGAGTGATAGTCTGGGTGCGAATACTGATCCACTTAGTGATCTGACTTCATGTATGTTCGTGTCTACACGTCTATCACACTCTAAAGTTCGGGAACGCGTCGTAAACATGAAACAGAACACATTTTAAGTGTGCAAATGTTAGCTCTGATATGTTGTAATGATTTAATGCCAGCTTCAGATTGCATGAAATTGCACCCTTTTTGCATGAAATAATGAAAGTTTTTCCTCCGGAGGGCACATGCC